TATTTGGTATTCTGCCTAAGCCCACAAATATTCAGTCTGACAATGGAACTCACTTCACCTCACATCTCATACAACAGTGGGCTAAAAGGGAAGGTATTAAATGGACTTTTCATGTCCCATACTACCCACAGTCTAATGGGATAGTAGAGTGCACTAATGGCTTAATTAAACTCCTAATTTGCCCACAGGACTCAAAATAGGATGAAAGATTGAAGCATGCAATCACTACTATAAACAATAGGTGGGAGGGTGAATGGGTGCCCCTGCCTAAATGCTTTTTTCCCTGAGTTATCTACTCAAGATCACAGAGAAAACAAAAGGTGTCTCTCTCTGGTTGCCCAGATAAGTGCTAGATGCTCCATCCCTGACATTTAAGATCAGATTGTGTGGGACTGCTTTGTTAAACTTTGAAATCTTCTGTCACCCAGACCATAGTAGTTTTTTGCAAATGATATATAATACTGCTTCCTGGAGGAAAAAGAGAGAGAAGTAAAAAAATAACAACAACAAAAAATACCCCAACAAAAACCCCAATCAACCAGAGCTTAATTATTAGGTTAACATATTAAACACTCATCTCTTTAATTAGTAGAGTGCCTGGAGAAGCACTACAAATTCCATTCAGAAAGACAGTTTTCTAACAGAGATGGGGAAAACCCCCAAACATTTAGATGGCTAATTCTAAGCAGCTTCAAATATTGGATGAAAATGTTATCAGAAGGGGATCATGCTGTAAAGCTGATGGAAACTTTAACACTGAGAATAACAGAGAATAAAGCAAGAAAACCTTACTGTCTTTGCTTATCCTGCAGATGAACTCCATCATCATGGAGGCAATTACGAGTTTTACCATTTTAATACACTGAGCTTCACTGACTGCCACCACTTCCAGCCCCAGTGTTATCCACTTGCTACCATGGCTGATTGTCTCTGCATCTAAATGAAATCAGCATTTACACAGTTATCAGAACAGCACACATAAATAATATCCTTACTTATTTTCCTTTATTCAACTGTAATTATTACTTCTTGTTCTCATAAACCAAATGTTTATAAAAAACTACTTCTGGGAAAAGAGGTCACAGCTTTCACAGAATGAGATTTCCTAAAAAAAAAATAATAAAAAAATTCTTTTAGTGAATGAGCAAAGCAGATGTGCTGTCTTTTACCCCTGTCCTCTGAGGGAAACTTCACTGCTATCAAGAGTTTCCAAAGTTTCATACAAATCTGCTGGGAATCTGACTGGTTTGCAATGTATTTTTGGTATTTCCAAAAGAGCACAAAAGGTCCTCTTTACTCTGTAAGAGGACAATACATTGGTTAAACAGAAGAAAAAAAAAAACACAACACAAACCCAAAACCAAACAAACCACACAAACAAACAAACAACTTACAAAAATTACATATACTGGCAACTCTGGCAAACAGATTTGTGCATTTTACAATTCCTAATAGCTGTGAGAGAAGCAGATGTACTCAAACCATATGTATCATTCCTTCCTATTAGACAGGGCACTTCTCACTACTCATCAGGATGATATATCAATGAATCCTTGATGTGACCACAGTTCTGTAACTGGCTGGCTATGGAGAGATTATACATACTTGGGTTTACCACCTAGGTTTTATATTAGAATATGAGTTTCAGTGTACATATTGAAAATACAAGCCCTGCACACATTCTCAGGCCCTCTATGCAGTATTGCACAGCAAGAAGACAGAATATATGGGTTTTTTTCAGCCACTATCTTTCCTAGTTAGAGATTCAAGTTAAGGTTATGTTAATGTGCAACATATTAATAGTGAGAAAAAGAGCTAGGCCTATGCCTCCCCCAAGTTTTTAAAAAAATGCACCTTGGGAACTTTGCTCCTTCAAATTAATTACACCATGCTCAGACCTCTAAATTTAATACTGAAATCCCACCATTTTTTACTTTTTTTAATTTACTTTTTAAATGTCAGACCTACAGGATATTATTTAATGTAGGTCTGACAAACACAAGGCACAGTGAAATATCTGGCAAATTAAAAGGCACAGGTTTATAAATCTAAATAAGATACTGCAATACACATACATCAATGCTGAGAAACTGGAAGCAGACTTGGCTGCATCATCAACTAACTTTTATCCAACAAAATGCTTTGCACTGAGATTCAGTCACAAATCTGAAAGACGTCTGAATCAGAACTACATTACTGAAGGAGTATAGCTGCTGGATTCTTTGCCTCCCTTCCTCTGACAGGCACTCTCCTGTTGGGGGGAAAAAAACCCAGCACTCTGTGGTTTGATTCATATCTGGCATTAACTTTATTGCTTTTCAGAAGGTTTTAGTTTTTTCTTCCTCCTGCCCTTTCTAGAGGTCACGTTGCTATAGCTGCACAGATCCTCACGTTTCATGACAAGGATCTGTGCCTGCTCCAGCTAAGCTTGGGAAGCAGCAGTAAACAGGCTCTGAAATCACCAGGCCAAATCAGGCATCTAAAGGTGGTCACCAGCTGCTGCTGAAAGAGTCACCCTATCCTGTCACACTGAGGAACGGGAGGAGGAACTATTCTTTGAAACTATTTATTTATGCTAGAGAAAATCTTCTGTGACCTGATGCTGCCACAGACTTAGGAAGAATGATGGAGTGGTGCTTCCACACTTTCTGTTTTCACCAGTGAAATTCCTAAACAGCAAAGCAAATCAGTGATTGTCAAGTTAAGGAACACAGGAAGTTTTGGTCTTCCCATCCCTTTTGTATGTGTCAAGGATATAGCTTGCTGCTGAAGGTAGAAAATTAAACTAGGAGCAAACTATTTTTTTACAATCCTTATTTTGTGGCATCAGAGTACTTTGAAAATACTGTTGAATTCAGGTTCATGATACTTCCGTCAAGTGCTAAATATTCCTATATTCCACATTAAAAGTGCATTAAGAGAGGTATTACCAAGGGACAGGTTAGAAATCCACAACAAAACTGGACATAGAAACCAAAGCTTCAACTAAGAGATTGCACATAACTTACTTTGCAGAGGATGCTCTCTACGTGGCATAACTGGCAGTGTATTGGTAGCAGAGGGCTACAGGGGTCACTTGTGGTGGGAGACCAGGAAATGCCCTGGGCCAGTCACAGCTACTTCCAATAGCCCTGAAATTGCTGCAGATAACCCACCCTGTGTCAAAACTTCAAAAAGTCAGAGAAACACATGGTACCTCTAGTCATATTTATGTCCTGCACTGGCCCTCACCTCACCACAGATTAACAATAGCTGAGTGCAATGTGTACTCACATTTGTACTCACAAAGGTGAGCTGAAACCTGGCAGTGGCAGGAGATTTTTACTGAATTAGAGCCTGGTGAAGAAAGGTGTTTCTTCATGAAGTAATTTGTTTGGTTTTTTTCCCCTCAATATTCAGATCTGTAATCAAAAGGGTTTTTAACTGTGAATGAACTAAGTCAAATTCTCTGAACCAAGACTGTTTTTCTCATTATGTGCTTATGCTTACTCTGGCATACTACTTACATCTTACATACTATGAAATCCATTGTTAGAGAAATCACACAAAGGAAGTAGGAGGGGCATTATGTGCCATAGCTGGATTGCAGTGTGAACAGTAAGTTACTGTGCTAAGGCAGCTGCATTAAGATTCTCACCAAAAAGTGCATTTAAAGCACCATATACAAGTAGTCACCTACACAGGGTGAAAGTGGGATGCAGGTAATGGGCACCACTCTGCTAAACAGTTCTGGCCATGGGAAGAGGTTAAGAAGTAAATTAAGGTGAACTACTGCCAGTGGAAAAGAAAGCCAGTCACACAGGGAGTCAGCACTTTCAGACTTTTCTTCCTTCAGACTTCTTTTCCCCAAAATTCACCAACTGGATATGTCCTTTTTTTCCTCAGGGCCACCTGCAGGGTCAAGTACTGTGCCAGCTTCCTTTTTTTGTCCCACATAAAACAGCTCTATGAAAGACTCATGGATCTGTCAAATCAGCATGGTGATGGGAATGGGAAAAAGATATGCAGCATTTTAAGCCGTTGCCTCCTCTTTGACAAGTTATGCAACTGTCAAATGGGAAGGGGAACCCTATTTGACTCCTTTGCTTAATTTGATTTTATAACTGCTGCATTGAGTTGCAAAAGGTTGATAAAATCTATTTTAAAAAAAGAACATAAATTCTGCCTGTTAATATTACTATTCATCTACTGCCTGCTTCTCCCGTTATTCTCCCTTCTTGAAGTTATGCTGATTAAATCAGTTGTCTTCCTGTTTATTAAAGTATGTGTCAGTCCATTTATTTAATCAGCTCTTGGCCCATTTTCTAATTAAAGGAGACAATGTGGGCTCATTTCCTGCCATGGTGAAGTTGGCAGGGCACTGTTTGTCCTGAGCTACTGCATTAAAATTCAAGATTATTTGTAATGTCTGCTTTTGTTTGGCAAATCCTTCCCTCCTGTCTGTCCAGCTGAAGACAAAAATATAGATGTGGTTTTTTTCTGCATTTCCACACTGCTGACACCCACCCAAATCAAGGACAGGAAGATGGAATCAGGCGGAGCTTCATCAGTGTGCTGACAAGGTGCCCGCCTCCCCAGTGCAGATGAAATATTTTCTTTCGAGGCCCTTCCTCTCAGCAAGGTTAGTAATACTGCATTATATGATGAACCTAAGGACAACTCTGTTAAGGGAGGGAATGATGGAATGCAAAAGAAAGGGCATACTCATCGGAGCATGTTCCTAGCTTGCTTTGCAGCTGGACTTTGGCCACCTCCTGCGCCACTATGGTCCAGATCCTTTGTCTGTCTGCTTAGAGCATGAACGCTGCTAACCGCTAACTGCAGCATTAAATCATTTATGTGCTCTCTGTATTCCAAAATACAGATCTTTTAAGGGCTTTAAGATTGCCTGTCTTCCTACCTCTGAGATATCCTGCCTTTTATCTTGCTTTTGACAAATCCTTAGTTTTAGCAGCTACAGCTAACCTAAGATAACTAGGCTGGTAGAGAAGTTCTCCCTTTCAGGCCTTCTTTCTGTCCCTTAGGACACACTTAGAGGGTGTATCAAGTGTTCCTATCTAGAAAGAAACCATAGATACATTGCAAGTTATCAACACATGCCATAGGCAGTGTTTTTCAGTAGGCCTTGTGAACTGCTGAAAACAAGAACAACCATTTTGTCCAACTTTCCAGACTCTCTCCTTCTGTCAACATAAGCCTATGTATACACCACACCTGCAACAGCTCAAATTCGTGCAGAGAAGCAGGCAACCTCACTGTGTCACACTTTCATAAGTGTTTCACACCATCTGTGCTATACACCTCCTTGCAACGTGCATTTATTTATGTGTAGTAACTGAACACTTGGCGTAGCCCTGGGCAGCCCTCTCTAGGTGACACTGCTTTGAGCCAGGTTTTGGACTACATTATATCCATAGCTGTCAGACAGCCTTTGCCATTCTGTGATTCTGTGGAACAAAAACCACAAAACCCAGTGGTTCTAGCACTTCACCAATAAGCTGTATTGCACAGTATTTTCCAAACACTGACCCATGGAGAAATGCTGCCCTGACCCCTTTTAAAGCTGGCTAAATGCTCAGTGGGGGTTTGTGCGTAAACTGCTTTCTGAATTGTGTCTTACTTTTTCTTCTCTGCTTACACTTTTATTTTATTTGCATTTGAAAACAACAGCAAAAGCTCAGTCTCTGGAACCTTACTTCTGGAAACTATGAATTTAATTTTGATCTATTTCAGTCCAAAAGGAAGTGTCTGGATTTGTTACGCTGCTAATTGTCTGAACCTTTGTCTCACCTCATCTATCTCATTTAGATCCAGATCTAACTCTGGATCTAGCACACTCATTTCCTTCACAAACACGTACTAAAAGATAAAATTATAATAAAAATAAAATCTTACACCTTTATGTAGACCAATGTTACTTTTTCATGCATGCAAGTGACTGCTATGAGTAACAAGCTATAACTGACCAGTGGAAAAACACAGAATAAAATAATATGTATATAAAATGCATAGTACAAGAAAAAGCAAAGAAAAAATTGCTGATTTTCAAATGGTAGTATTTCCCATGCTGTATTTTTCTATTATAAATACACTGCACTTTTCTCTTTCAACTGAGCCTACTGAGCATCTCACAAATACTGCAGCAGCTATGAGACCAAGGATAGAGGCAAGAGTTCAGCCCTTTAAACTGCCTGTGTTCAACCACGGACCTTAATGCCAGAGGAAACGCACTGCAACAAGTGTTGGGAAGGCCCAGTGAAGGGAGGAGAAAAATTTACTGGAGCTGTATTCCTAGACCCCACACTTACCAAAGGCTCTAGTTCTTTGCGGTCTATGAGGTTGAGCTCTGTCACAAAGTAATAAAAATGCTTGTAACAGGTATTGACATGGGCCTCAGCCCCCATAAGGATGATACGGTCAAAGTGATGGATGTAGACGTGAACAAACACTCGAAAAAGCCGGCAGAGTATCTTCTTGCAGATCTGAAGGAAGTTCTTTGGAAAGGGAACACCTGTGAATACAGAAGGCAGGGTTATCATAATCGTCCTGTCGTCCTCCCAAGACAATGGCTTTGGAGCAAAGCGTGAGTTTGTAACTGCAAACTAGGTTATGAATTCATAGGGCTTCCTTTCCAATCCAGAAGATCACTTGATGCCTACATTTATCTGAATGCTAACACCGAAGATAACCAACCAAACAACAACAAACCAGCAGCCAGTGCAGAACAGCATAGGGTGCATAATAAACTTGCAGGGTTCCATGTATGCATTAACTTTTCAGACACACTTTGTAGTTTCATTTGCCATCAAGGAACTACTTCCATTTTGCAAACCTATCTTTGTTTCATTTACTCTTAAATAAACAGTGAAACATTGCTGCAATCAGATTTATCACCTGGGTATGACAGAATCCATTACGGCTCTCTGACCTTTCTCCCCTTCCTGCAAAACTGATTTACAAACACAGTGTTCTAAATAGTTAAGAATTGCCTCACTGTACCACTGAAAGCAATTGGCAGCTGTGAAGTGAGCTAGACTCCACAGCCTCCAGAGCCTGCCAGCTTGCCTGTCCACAGGGTATGGGGGAGGTTCAAAGTCTGATTAGCCTCCAGGTACACACGAGTGTATGGAGGAGGCTGCAGCACTCATTTTAACATACACTGTGCTGCTCTTTGTGTTCAGAGTGAGACAAAAGGATGGCAGAAAGGCACTCTCAAGAAAAAAAAAAAAGTCTAATAGAACAGTACCATTTCTGATCTCAATTACAGGAGAATGAAACCAATGTAATGCCATAAAAATTTTAAAAAGTCAAGAGTGAAGTTATTCTAGATTTATATTCTGAGGTCGGAATTTGGCCTAATGTTTTGTTCCCACTGCAACTGCTACAGTTATAAATAAATCGGGTCCTGAATATAATCATTACGAGTGGCTCTTGGGAATCGACTAACTTAGATTTAGATCCTTGACTTGTTAAGAAGTTTGTTCTCTGTCCTATGGCTCAGCCATAATAGCCTTTTGCCTTTTACCCCTCCAAGCCCTCGTTTAACATGGAGTCCAGGTTTAGTAATTCCTTTTCTGGAACTTTGTAACTAAAAAAGAAGAGGAAGTTAAAAAGGGGAAAAAGGGAAAAAAACCCAACAAACCCAAACCCACCAAAAATCCAGGTATTTATTTAAACTTTGGATTATTTGTAACAGTGAAAAGAATTTCCAAGAAAGATGACTACCTCACTGTCTGCAAGATGATATCGTAAAGAGAAAGGTAAAAAAAAACAAACTATATTGCTCAGATATGTTTATGTCCTGGTTTGAGCCAGGATAGAAGAAATTTTCTTTCTAGTGATTTTACTTTTCAGTTAAGTCCCTTGTAAGTAGCTGCAGTTGCTGAAATTTTAGACCACGTTTTTCAGTCAGTGCCTGCTTCTAGGACTGATAACACTCAATGTTTACAGTTACTGCTGGAGAATGGTATGTAGAACCAAGGCAACTGCTTGGTTCTGAAAAATATCTTGTGCTCCAGAAACAGAAGGAAGGTCACACCTGCAACCAAAACTGACCACACAAAGCGTTCCATCCACAAATCATACTCTGTATAAATCTGAAGGAACATGAGGGTCAAGATCCTCTTCATCCATGGCTGGTGTCCTGAGACGATTCCATCCATTCATCTGCCTTTGATCCCAATTCAATTTTTCCTGAATCCCTGAGTTCCTGCATCCAGCTCCTGTCTGCTGCTGACACCACAAGTCAAGTTCAGGGTTTTCTTTAGTGCCTGCCTTGTGGCTTCAGGGGTGATGTGCACATCATTTGGGGGCTGGGGAATGTGATATTGGTTTTGTATATATATTTGCATATATTGGTACTTATTTAATTATTTTTCTTTTCATCACTATTGCTTCATTGAAGCTGTGTAGTTTAGTTTCCAGCCTTAAAGGTTCCTTCTCCCTTATTTGCTCTCCTTTCTCCATAGGGGAAAGGAGAGGGGATAAGAGAGAGTATCTGTCATTCATTTAATTGCCAGCCCAATGTTATTAAACGGCAAAGAAATACAAAGATGACATTGAAATTTTTAAGCCAGCTGCTACTTGCTGAAAAAATATTTCTGGATGAGTGAACTAGCAGCCTTGATTCATCTGTAGGCTGAGTCCCAGCGCTGCTATATGAGAAGAAGGTAACAGAAGGGTCTTTTTCTTTAACCTGGTATTCAAAACCCCACAGCTCCCCATTATGTCCCAAGAACATGCAGCAGCTTTCAAACATCCCAGTTACACAGCAGAAGCTCCTTTTTTCATATATAACTCAGGTTTATATATACAATTGGGAAACAATGCAGTGGGGGGTAGATGGGCATGGCATAACCAGCAAGAAAGACAGCCAGCATGACTGTACCTATACCCCTCTGAGGTGTGTGCTGTACTGCCAGTGCTGTACTAACAGTCAGTCTCCTCCTGCAGAAAAGCTGCATGTATTCTGGTGCAGGATGTATCATGGCAGCATGAGGGATCTAATCTATATGCTGAATAAGCCAGATCCCTTTTATTTTAAGCAAATTTACAGGGTTCCTGACTGCAATTTTAGCTCTCCCTGTTCCTTATTACTTCTGCTGCTGCAGGGGGTCAGAGGAGAAACACTGCAATGCCAAAGAGCAGAACACTCTTGCTGTAAGCAAGGCTAGTTTTACCCCAGACAATAATCTGCTGATTTACCCATTAAAACAGATCTCTAGGTCTTCAAGGCAATGAGAACACTGAATGTGATGAAAAGCTGCAGAGTCATGGTCGTATGACAGTGTAACTTGTCAAACATATTTGTCTGCACTGGAAGATCCACCTTCTCCATAGTAACAAAATAAGGTTAGTTGGAGCATTGCACTGGAACGACTTTATATGGCACTAATATCTAGATAGTCTAAAATAGGCCTGGAAATCCATTAGATTAATTTAGTGTTCTCTCTGCCTTAGCAGAGACTATAGTACAGGTGAACTAAAGGCAACCTCTTCTGGGACAGAAATTATAGCAGCCATTTGGCATATAACAGTTTACAACAGGACAAGAGAGTTTATTAACCTGATGAGTGAATGTAATGGAAAAGTATGCAAACACTGGAGCCTGGCCAAGAGATCAATGGAAAAAACTCTCCTCTCCTCCTGACAGAGGTTTGTTAATAGCTTTGATTTGGTTCTTAATTGAAATAAGTAAAATTTGGGAGGAATATGTATATATGTGTATATATGTGTGTATATGTATTCATATATATATATATATATACACACATATACACACTGAAAGCTCTCTCGGAGTACAGGTCATGAATCAGTGTGTATAGACTGTAATACTTTCACTTCTTTCCTAGCAGTAAATTTAGGATTAGAATAAAGGCTGCAACAATCCCTGAATCTGAGATGTTTGTGGCACTCTGCCAATTCAAAAAATCTGTTTACAGCATGGATGTTTTCAGGATGCACTACTAAGCACTAAAAGCAGCGGCAGTATCTGTGCTGAATTTTCTGCTGCAAAAAGGAGAACATGCAGCAGCTCTAGAAATATTAAATATTCTTATTAAATCACACTCTGAAACACGATCTTCTCTGTGATAGCAGAACGACAAGAAGGTACAGGAGAAGCAGGGATTTACAAAATTGGGTAATTACGCTTTTTGGTTTGTTCCCTATTTATGTTATAGATTGGCAATGAACTGTCTTTAACCTCTGCATGGTAATTCACCTCAAAGGTGGTAATTTTACACAGAAATCAGGACTGTTGCCCTAGATGTGTTACTTTTATTTTTCTACACAGAATTATATCTGCTTTTTTATTGCTCAGTTACTGCCTTACAGTATTGCCTTCAGCAGTCCACCAAAGCCAGTCCCTGTCCTGCTACCAAGAATAGCTTAACATCAGCAAATGTTACCACCTCGTTGCTCACCCTTTTTTCCAGCTTAACTATGTTAAGCAATTGAAGTCCCAGCATGTCAGGCTTCAGAACTCCACTGCCTACATTCAGTTTCACAGTGGAAGAATTCAACTATTTACTCCTATCCTTTGCTTCTTTTTCTAGCCAATATGTTATGCATTTACCATCTGCAGTCTCAACACTGCCAAGTGACTTTTAGTATGCAAATATCATAATGGTATCCTAATCAAGAGACCACTTTTTTTTTTTTTTTCAAAGGGGATTAATAAAAAAATGGATTAAAAAACAAGGACTAGATGGGGAAAACCCCTCATGTAGAGTGTTCTTTGATTATGTTGATTCTTGAAAGAAAACAGAAAACCTATGGATAAATTGAGATAGTTTACCTCACAAAGTGCTGGAAGTGAGTCAAACCAAATCAAGTCACTCAGAAATAAATTTTCTGGAGGAAGACAAACTAATACAGACAAAAAAATTACTCTATGATCATGGGTCTACTGAAAATAGACATAATTTTTTTGAAACCCTTACTGTTTGCCATAGCCAGGTTATCACATCTAGGTTACCAGACTGTTGTCGAAATGCAGTCATGCAGCTGGGAAGGGCTCACAGGAAAACAAACAAACAAACAAACAAACCCAACAAAAATAAAAACAAACAAACAGGGTGTAAGGAGAGGGAGATGAATGCAGACACATCAGAATTTTCAATACTATTTCTAAGTGACTGCATGGTGGATACGACTGGACTGTAATGACGGTATGTGGGTTTTTAAGGAAAGAGGAGCAGGGAGCATGAGGAGAGAAGAGACCTGCTTGGGAATGCAAAGAGCTCTACCTTGGGACTGGTCAGGAATCAGTCAAGGGCTTCTGTGGGCAGACCAACATGGGCACTGTTGTGGTGGGTAACTGCTATAGACTGCCTCCTGATGAAAAAGAAGTAGGTAAAGCCACCTGCAAATATAGAAGTTTAACTTTCACAGGCTGTATGATCCTCAACAGGAACTTTAATTCCCCAAAAAGACAGTCCAGCAGGCCTCAAGCAGTCTGGGAGCCTTTCTGAGTGTATTGTAGCCTTTGGGCTCCTCCTGGTAGTGGAG